GAGGTAAGAGCTGTATAACTAGAACATCACAGAAACACACACAGACTGCGCAGTACAACAGTATTTGAATCATTTAGTCTGTGCTCTTTAATCTCAAGCTTAGCTAATCTTCTGACCCTTGTTGCAGTAAATTACCACATTTTTCTAGCAGGATTCGACACATTTGATCACATCTTACACGGTGGTTTTAAACATGGCCACTAACAACACTAAACAGCTCCCTGCATGGTAAATTCGACCGTCCATATGGAAAAGGACCATATTTCACAACCTGAAAATGTCACGGTATCCCTTTAACAGCCATGCTAATGCTGCCACACTGAGCTACTTGCTAATTTCATGCTCCACGCAACAGGGATAATTTGGTCCCTGTCTGGCTGTCCGTCTGTCTGTCTGTCTGTCTGTCTGCTGGGGAAGAGAAGTGTGTGTGTGTGTGTGTGTGTGTGTGTGTTTGTCTGTGGAGTATTTGTGTGTGTTTTGCTCCAAATCATTGCTCGTTGTGTCTTTCTCTTTGTTTCTCTCTCTCTCTTACTCTTCTTGAGATCAATAGTGGCAAATGGAAAAAAGTGAAAAAGAGGGAAAAAACAAAAAAGGGAGAACAGACCCGAAATAGACCCCCCCCAAAAAAAAGAGACAGAAAACAGAATACAAATGTTGGGAAAAGACTGCGGATAGAAAGACAGAAAGAGAAGATGACAGAAATAGAGAGGAAGACAGAGGAAGCGCTGTCTTGTGCTGGATCGGGCTACTGAACAGATGGCCGCACCGCAGAGAGAAGACCACAGTGGAGACATTACAACATTCAGGTTAAAATCTCCCCTGGAACACACACACACGCACATACACACACGCACACGCACACTCAGTGGCAAAGGGCAAGGTCTTTCTGTTTATTATAGGCATTTGTGAGAGACCCAGACACTAGTTTTTTTTTTGTGCCTACAAGGCCAAAATCTTTCTATTTGTGGAGAATCACGGACGTGCTTTAAGGACATTTGTCAAAAAAGCTTCATTCATCTAGTTTAGAAATAGAGATGGTTTAGAGATTGATAAATAATGCATATTTGGTTGTATTGAAAAGGAGTCTATGCAACAATAATCTACCAAACAACAACAAAAAAACATCTGTGCCTCAGAGGTAAGGTCTGGAAAGCATGACAAAAGCTCAAACAAACAGAAAAAAAAATACTTACAAGGTAAGGAACACGCCTTGTTTACCAAAAGCATCCTAATCAAGGACGATTTGTGAATTCTTGAGCACTGAGAAAGCGGGCTCTTGTGATTCGAGAGCTGAAACTTAGGAAGCAGTACAAGGATGCTGTTTTGCAGAAATCACTTGCTATGGGTTACTTTGTGGAGCATACCCAATTAATTTCAGTGTCATTTAAGGGGCAAGTGTGATGCTGGACATGGAAGTAAAGGAAGGAAAGAAGAATAAATCTGGGCGGAGCTGAAAGATGCTGAGTGGAGAGGGCGTTGGGAGGAGTGTTGGCGAAAACATTTTTTTAAAAAAGGTACGATAGAAGAGAGCAGTACAGACAAAAACAGCGTTGTGTCACACTGTCAGCTCTACTGAAAGTTTCATGAGTGGAAATGGCCTAATATCCCTACCAGGGTAGGACTGGAGGTGAGGGACTGCCAGAAAAGGTGTATGTGCGTGTTTGTGTGTTGTCTGAAAGGGTGTGTGGGGGGGCTGCGATCCAAACGACATTGTAAAACATCAAATATTTAGAAGATGGATTACAAGTACAATGTGTACTTGGGTTGCTGTCAAGTCACGACAAAGCAACAACACTGTTTAATCATTCATTCCTTGTTCTTTTTTTAGACTTGTGGACGGTAGACGTAGGAGTGTAGCCTGTGTTGTTCGCTTACAGGTATTTAGTTTAAAACTAGCAAAGAATTAAGGTGATTATAAACACTGTATCCTTTCACGTTGTCATTCCTTACTGCCGCTATGGCGATACGCTCCATAAAAACTATATATACTAGCAGTCTGAATTCAGCTAAAATCTCCCTGCGCCAAACTCCCTTTAAGAAATACCACATATTAACAATTATTAACATATCTTTTCTTCATTAGGTGCCTGTTTAAACAAACATGTACTGTGTAAATCTATAAAAATAAAACATACATTTACTTTACCAGGATAATCCAGAGTACTGTAAAAGGCATGCACTCTGGTTCCAATGTAATTATCTTCATGGATGTCCTGGTAAATAAATAAAACATTTCCTCACGTCCATCTGTCACCCTTTCTATTCCTCAGCCCTTCCAGCAATCCATTCATCAAGAATAACTTAAGTGACTCTGAACAATGTGTCAGACAACCTGACAGTGTGTTAACAGGACGGATTCAGCTAAGTGAAAGAGAAGTCCTGCAATCCGCCATTTCCCTCTCTGAAATGTAAATACACCTGCAAGATGTTCCTATTGAGCACTACACCAGCTGCCAGCTGGCTGTAGTTCAGTCAAAATGCACAAGAAAAAAACTTCCTAAATGGGAGAGAACTGGAGTTTGTTGTCATGATTTAGTATCAACACTTCACTAGAATAAAATTCAATGCCTGTCAGTAATTATAAGAAATGGCTGACCAGGAAGCGGGTTCATGAAAACATAGTGCTGCTGTCGGGTCAACCAAAGTGTTTTTTCTGAGAAAAATAGCTTTGTTTGGCTTCCTAATCACTCTCCCCCACATAAGTCATATGAGCAGAGAGACTGCATTTAAACTGGGGGACTTTGAGTGCTCAGGACTCGTTTTTCGAGGTTGATTAGTGCTGCACTGTAGCTGACCCAGCAGTTTTTATGTCATCGAGAACAGAGAGAGTGAAGAGAATCTTTGCTGGCAGGGATCAATTACTGTAAGCAGGACTATAGTAATGAGAGTACTCTGAAGCAATAGTAATGCTGAAAAATTGAAAATATTGAAAGCGCTCATATGATAGTTTGCAGGATTAAAATTTTGTTTCATAACATGATAAGAAAGTTTTTATTTTTCAATTATATCAGTATTAATGCTGCAAAAAATCAAAAACATATGTGATTAGCAGAATGTATTTTTCACGAGCCAGCGATGAAGTTCTAAGTTTTGAGAGACAAACTAAATCTGACACAAAAAAATGGCCGCTGTGTTTTAATTCAAGTAAGAAAAATACCATCCTCGCTGTTATATGGCTTTTACCTGTCAGCTGCAATCTACTTCATGCTGCCTGAAGTTCAGTCAGAGTTCATAATGATTTAGAAAAGATGCATTTGGTATTTATTCATCCAAGTTATAGGTTGTTGGACTAAACAGCAATGTGTCCTTTTTTCAGTTTTATTTTTGAAGTCCTTCCAATTTTCTCTCTTCTTGCTCTTGCCATTATTGTCTAACACTGTTACACCTTTCTCTTTCCATCCCCTCTCATCCTCCATTTTTTTCAACACTTTACTACAGTCCTTGATCTCTTACCCATCTAGATTAGCTTCCTCTCCCCATCTAAAAAGGTTGCAACCAAATGTCACACAAATAGTCGCATTTGTGTAAATGGGAAGCAACTATTTAAGCAACTTCAATCAACTTCCAATGTGCATTTCACTTACAGCTTTCACACAGTGATTTCAGAGTTGTGGGAATGTCAAACATTTGAGTTAAGTAAACACAAAATACAAAAACCAAAGTTTTAACATGTCAGTATTATCCATCATCCATTATTATCATTAATATTATTGTCCCATTGAGAATATGGGATTGTAAACATGAGACAGCAACATAGGGTAGACGAGGGCAGACAGCTGCGCTCACATATATGTATACATACAAATAGATACACACACACATTATATATATATATATACATATATATACACACACACACACACACACACAATATATATATATATATATATATATATATATATAAAACACACACACATAAAATATATAAATAAGAGACATGTATATGTTTGTGAAGCCAACTAGTAGCTGAAAGTGCCACCAGTGAACTCTCCATTTATCTTCATGCTCTTTCCCTCCACTCTCCTCGTCTAATCAAACATCGCAATCACATGTGTTACACCCTCAACCTCTGCGCCAACTGGAAAATCCATTATATGTACTCAGCTCAAGACCTGGACTATCCACATGTACGGGCATATACACACACCCCGCCAAATCAATAGCAGACATTAGTGCTATTGACAACACCAACTGAGGTTAACAATCTGCCGTAACTGTAGGTGCTGCCTACTAAGCTGTGTGTAAATGTGAAAGGGCAGCAGAATAAACAGGTCCAGATGTGTTTGAATGGGATTAAGATCCTGCACTCTCACTTTTACACATCTAGGTCAAACACAGTAATAGGCTTTAGTTTCACACACACATAAATAAAAGAACAGAGCAACCATAAAATTAAACTAAAAGCTAAACAGCAAAAACTTTTGTTTCATGTTTGAAAGGGTCTACTGACATCTTTGTTTCACTCCTGAATTAACTAATCCTTTACAATCCCTCGCCCACAAATCGTCTGCAGAAAGGTTTTTTAAACCTTTACTTCCTTGCATCCTTTTTGTGCGTTCCTTGCATTACTACTATACATCAACCCAGCACTTTCTCACGCCATATGTGTTGTGCTTACACTGAACTGATCAAATCATCCTGTTAAACTAACAGCTAAAGTGTAAATGTATCTGTTGCATGGCTTCGTGATGGGGCTGAGCATTCAGAGTCAGCCTGTATTATACGCTCTGTAGAATTAGGACTATCATAGAGAAACCTGCCATGATTAAAAATATAAAAATATCTGTATTATGTTGCATCATGCCACTAGGGTTGGCTGGGATATAATGGTAGGTAGGAATTACAAAAGCCCCACTTCTGAGGCAATCATAGATGTCATTATCAGAGAAAATCCCCGTTTCTGAGATCACATGCAGAGCCTGATAGATAGAAATGGACAGACAACAAGAAGCACAATAACAATAGAGTGTGTATGTGTGCGAGTGTGTGTGTGTGTGTACCTGGTAGGTGTCCCACAGTCTGATCGTGCAGCGTAGTGGCAGCTCCCTCATCAGGAGGTTGTTCATCCAGCGGAAGGCAAACTGCAGGTACTCCACCTCGTACTGCTGCATGTGGCGGTGCACGGACTCTGTCAAAATAATAATAATCGCTTCTTTTTAAACACAACATCACACATTGATTAAGGATTGCATCTATATTTGAGTGAAGACCAGCAAAATAAAAACATCAGCGATGCATATGTCTGCAAGGACAGAAATTCAATTAGGCTCTGTCTATAGTAATGGTGACAGTAACTACTGTGTAGATGGACAGATTCTTTCATAACTCCCCTCTCTCTTAATAACTACCGCAGTCAGTGTCAAATGCACGCACGCACGCACGCACGCACGCACGCACGCAACCATCACGCACATAGCCTCTTCCTCATAATAGAGATGCAATTACAGCGCTATCAGAATTGTCTGAGAAAAGCTACACACCAAACTGAGATGAAAAAAAGGAAGCGTATTCATTGTTAAATGAAGCTCCGAAGCAATTGCACGTCAGTCCGGTGAGGAACGGAGTGCATATAGCGTAGGTCAATAGCATCTAGAGGTGAGGACAGAAGCCATGTTTATGTAAAGCGCAGAGTGTGTTTTTATTATTTCTTTGACATTATTGCTTCCAGTAGGAGTAGATTAAAAGTGTATTTTTGTCGATTTATGTCGTACAAGGTCAGTCAGTGCAAAACCTCCTCAAGTCCCTGTGAGGATTTAAGAAAATTGTGGCAATTTATCTCTTTTGTCACAAGTGGAAGTGGGGTGATTTTAATACTGCACAAGCCCAACACTGATTTTAATGCTATACAAAGCATATTTTTCACCCTCTTTCTCAATATTAATTAGTCATGAATAGCTACAGTTTTTAGGCACACTTATGGTCCAACCCATAATTAAACTCTGCCAAAACAGACACATTTCAAAATATTTCTTTTCAGTTTTTTTATGAGACAGGCAAATATTTGATTACTCACCTCTGAAATATTAATCATGTCCCAGTGTGCCTTTACTGTAATTTGGTGATTAGTTTATCTAGGCTGCCACTGCCAAATTTCAGGCAGAGAAGGGCCTAGAAACACATGAAATTAAGTGAAGAATTTCTGCTTTATTGGACAGAGAATTAGCAGTCATCACTGTGACATTAGAGACTTTGGCATGAGGAGGATTCAAACAAAACCAGTCCTTTCATTTTAACAGTCTATTTTCTGTTATTTTGAAGAAATCCAATGCAAAGACCAGTACCATACATATGACTTCCTCAGCCTGTCTGTGGCCTTTAGCCCCACACCCATTTGTTTCTACTGAAGATTTAAATCTTCACAGAAAATACACTTTCATTTTTTTTTAAAAAAGGCTAAATATCTACTTAAAACCGCTGGGGCACTGTAGCAACCTTACTCATTACTCATAACATTTCTCAAAACACAGTAAACAGAGGATTTGTTTGGAACTATTTTTCTCAGTGTATTAATGCAGGCTTGGTGCAGTTGTTGGCATTTCCCACACCGGAGTGGTGGTGTGTGTGTGTGTGTGTGTGTGTGTGTGTGTGTGTGTGTGTGTGTGTGTGTGTGTTGTGTGTGTGTGTGTGTGTGTGTGTGTGTGTGTGTGTGTGTGTGTGGTGGATGGAACATAAACAGCGCCCATGTTCCTAGCAATGAGGGAAGATTTGACCCTGTATAGCTCATTGATGGGTTTTAAAAAGCTCTTGAAACACAATGGATAGAAAACAAGCTACATCAGGCTTCGGCTTCAGGGTTAGTACTTGTATTTTATTTATAGTTGTTTTTGGTCTTTCTGGATTTTTCTGTGCACGTTACTGGAATTTAACTTTGGTATCAACAACAGCTGAGAACACACACACAAAAAAATAGCTGAATATAATCATCAGCTAAGTCGGCACTTTGTTTTTCTAAACACAAACATCAGCTGGCTATTGGATGTCCACATCTGTCTCCTTATACCCATAAAATGTGTTTTGTTTTCTCTTCCCATAATTGGTTTGGATTATATTCTCTCACTTCCAACAAACTACACACAGAGAGGACCGCGATGCATCAGGCCGTCTCAATACGGTCTCAAACACGGTCTCAACGTGGAGTTCCAATGCCAGTGTCAGTGTCAGTGTCATAGTCTGGCAGGCTGGCACGAACACCGGCTGAGAAGAATGGATGAGAGGAAGAAACGTCAGTTGGAAATTTGCTGCATATGGGGCTGTGACACTGACAGTGGCTGCCTTTGTTCTCTTCTCTGTTCTTGATAAATGTTTGTTTAATGCTTCTTTACATAACAAAAGATTAAAAATACCACTCAGTATTCAGCGACTCCCTATTTCATAGTCATCAAACCCATGACACTCATTCTCTCTCTCTCTCTCACACACACACACACACACTCACACCCACACCCACACTCTTCATAATAGAGCTGTAATTAAAGAGCTGTCAGAGAATCTATGAGAAAAGCCAGTTAGGGAGGAACTATAGCATCCTCTTCTCTCACACTCTGCTCTTAATCAGCGCTGACTGACAAGCACATACACACACACCCAAACACAGGTTTAATAAAGCTTTAATTGCTCAAATATTATGTAAAATCTTTCCAGCCAAGAACACATACATTATTACTCTCAAGTACACACAGCAACCACTTGAATGATACCTGCCTCCCTTTGCTCGCACATGCATGTTTGACAATGGCGCACACACTCCGCCACATGAGCAGGGCGCGAAGTAAACACAAAGCGATTATTTCACACTCCTCTCTGCAGTTTAATTATCACATGCTGCTGTAAAAGCATAAACAAGGCAAGCTCATTAACGGTGAATGCATCACGGTGACAGATCTTAGCTAGCTGCCAAACAGAGAGGGAGAGAGTGGAACAACTTTAGACAATGTTAAATTACACTAATGAACTTGCTCTGCCTAATATTAGCAACTTCACCAAACACAGAGAGGAAGAGGTGCACGATGGGGGAGTGGTGGAAGGGAGAGTCATTTGTCATGAGGAGTTATCACAGTGGGAGGAGAGGAGAGGAGAGGAGAGATTAAAAATTATACCAAAAAAAAGAACAACAGGGGGAAAAAAAACCCACAATGAACTGAAGCGCTAAAACTTGTGACTTTTTAACCGCGGGCTGCTGTCCAGCTGGCACAGTGCTCAGCATGCTGGGTAGAGTAGTTATGGAGGCTGAGGGAGGTTGAGGATGACATCTCTCATAGACACTGATTGACTGATGAGTCTTGTCTTCGTTCCTACTGCTGGTTAAAGTTTAGGACGGAGGCCATGATGCCAGCTAGTCCGCCGCTCACAGTGGACTGTAGCCCATGGCTGGTGAAGTGCGGGTGGACAGCAGGAGGTCAGAGGTCGTACAGTGACTAGTGAGGGGCTCCCAGGATTCTGCTGACGAGGCCAATTCGGCCTGACTTCATGCTCTCCTTGGTGCAAAACGTAATTACAGTTGCACTTTTTTTTTTTCTCTTCCTCTCCTACTGGCATTTTTTTTCAACTATTCCAATTGATCTCTCTCTCTCTATACGAAACAGAATGTACTCATTGCACTGTAGCCTTCAAATCCCATTTACCCCTCTCTTTTATTTTACTCTTGCCAACCTTAGCAGATTTAAACAAATACTATTCAAGATAGAAATCAGGCAACAGGGTCCTCTTTGTTCCGTAACCAGAATTTTGCACACTAAGTCAATCAACACTGTGTGCATACACAATATTTGGTCTCTGGTCTTTTTCTTTGGAAATAATTGATAGTTTGCTAATCGTCACCATCACTAGTTACTGTTGCTATGCCTGTCAAACCGTTTCCAGCTGACTTGTTTTAAAACATGTACCCTGTGAGGGGTCTTAATGCACTTAATGGTTACATATATGATATTGTGCTTAAAGACTGAGGCTGAAGCTGCATGTCCCAGGGAAAAAGTCAGTACCCTTTGTTGGAGAAATTCTTCTAAAATATTGAGAGTTGTTAGTTCTCTGAAGAATTACAGACCCGGTGTGACGAATCAAAACTGTTTACTTCATGCAGCATGGAGAGAAGACCTCAACATGGCTGTTCTCTCATTTTCGCCTTGTATACCATCAAGTAAACAGAACAACAGTTCCTGACCTCCTGACAAAGTTGATTCAAGCAAGCATTCATTCAGATGTTTAAGATATGACCTTAAGCTTTCCTCAGTACAATGGTCTTTCAATGTTACAGTTTAATTCAGAGTAGAGTCAGGGGATTCTGATCTGACTTCCTCACAACCTTGAGAGAAAGCTTATAGATGAGGACTAATACATTTAACCAACGCAACACAATTGCAAGCAGGGCTGCGTTATCGTTTAAAAAGATTTCGATGCCAGTACAGATACCGATAGATACAGATGGGAAATAAGGAAACTGATAGAATATCTGTACAGTATTGGACTATATACAAATTGTAAATAATTCTCAAAAGAATCATTAATAACAAACAGTAATGGCAATAGGCCAATGTCTAAACTGCATCATCCAAAGACGAAACCCATCCTATTTTTTAAGATGTGCAGCAGCCCAGAGTAAGAAAAAATTACCATACTCTGTCAGAAAAGACCTAAAGGGACAACAGTCGAAAGATGGCACTGTAGTGACAAAACTTTCACATTTCCATCAACTTCCTACAAGATTTGGTGTAGAATCTTTTTTTATATATAGTGTAGTGTAAGGCACGTGTGAATTTCTTTAAATAAATGCATCCAAAATGCTTGGAAATGTGCAACATACAGTATGTTAAGTAGCTTAAATGTAAAGTTACTGTTGGCAACACACACACCTAGAATGTGAATTTATACATAAATTCAGCCCCAGAACAACGCATTAAACAAACAGAACTGGAGCAGACTAAATATCCTGCACACATAATGCATATCCACTTCAAAAAGCAACTGCTGCTACAGAAAGGCAAATTATCTTACTGTTCTTTTTCAAACCCATAAAAACACACTGTAGCCTTTTTTCTGCCTTTCATTATGCAATATAGTCTCACAACCCAGCTACCAGCCTTTTTACACAATTCAGGCTCAGAGTGTGCGCTGCCAGAGCGGCCTCTCATTTACATAAATAAATTCACCTTTGGGCAATTTGCATGTTGATGAACTTGTGCTAATGCACTTGCATGCAACAAATACACAGAAAGAGATAAGGGAGAGATAAAGAGATCAGAGGAACATTACAGGCATGCCAACAAAGTGGCTTGTCTTTTGAGGAGGTACACGTGCTAGCATCAAGCAAGGCTAATGGGAGTTAGCGTCACTTATTACAAGTAGGATAATTACAGAGAGGGGGAGTCTGAGGGAGGGCCAGGCAGAGAGAGAGAGAGAGAGAGAAACAAAGAAATTTCAAAGTAAAAGCCTCCCAACAATGTCCCCTCACTGATTTCAAAGTAAAGACATAAACAGCTTTGATTTTTTATCATTTTTAACTAATCCTTGCAGTTTTTTGGGCCTCCTTTCTTCAAGTTCAATTAGAGGTAACATTATAGGGCTGAATTCATGTGACTTATATCCAAATTGAACATCTAACAAACCGCAGAAAATGCTTTATGATAAAAGTATCTTTTTTGCGGGGCGGCTGAGGCTCAGGTGCTGGAGCGGGTCGTCTAGTATCGTAGGGTTTTTGGATCGATTTCCAGGCAAAGTATCCTTGGGCAAGATGTAGAAATCCCAAATTGCTCCCGATGGCTGTGCCGTCAGGGTACTGGGTAAGTTGATTGTTGATGCTTACTTGAGAAATGCCCTTGTTAAAGGGACATCAGTCAACACTTGAGAGAGAAGGGAATGTTTTCCCACATATTACAGGACTTAAACTAGAGAAATTATTAGTATTAAACCGTATCCTGGAAACCTTGTGATTTATTATCTCTTGAAATCATGCACTTTAAATTCAGTTTGATAATATATATGCTGTCTTTGACACACCCAATTATAGCGTAAGGAAATACAGAGAAATAACATCATAGATTCGTATATACTGTACTTATGTGTTAGAAATGAATGTTTTTCTGGGTATCCAACAGCATCACTTCATCCCTACCATCAAATATGCCTTTCAAAGGGTATGTAAAAAACAACAGGGAAGGAAAATGGCGAGATGAAGGAGAAGAGGAAGAACATTGTTTAAAAACGGCTGAGGCTTCATGGCACAAATCCAGTCTTTTTTTTTCTTCTTTTTCTCCCCCACTGTGCTAAAAGATATAGTGGTAATGGATGGTGAGAATGTGATCATAAAAACCCTTAACGTTATCTTTCTTTCCCTCTCTGCGAGTGCACAGTATATGTGTGTTTTCCCTCTATCTGACAGATATATACTGTAGGAGGAGCTAGATGCAGTCATTTTAAAAGAAGCAAAGAGAAGGTGACAGAGAAAGTGTTGCGAGACAGACGGATCAGCAATGTCCTCTCCCAAGTGACCCAGTACTGCAAACAATAATGCAATGAAACACTGAGCGAAGGTCAAAAACATCACAAGCGCCTTCCTTCGCACCATCCTTTGTCTCACTTCCCATTGCCTTAGCAAATTCTCCATCAACCACTAATGTCTCTGTATCAAGTACCCAACTGATATAATACCTAATACCTTTAAGTCCCCATAGCAACAACTAAAGCATTTTATTTTGCCTTTTTTGGAAGGTTACATGAGCTAATGGAGAATAATAGATTTGTTCATTTTGCAACAAGTTTTGTCCAACAGATGTAAAATGAATGAGCTGCAAGATTAAGTACCACCAGTAATGTAAAGGATTGGTAATCTCAAAAGGAAACATTAACATCCAGAAAAAAACAATAAAGAACCAAAAACAATTAACATAAAATCTGATTCTACAACTTTTCAACAAATATCAGGAATAAAATATTGGCAAACCTGCACTAGTTGTCAAAACAGCTGCCTGTTGTGAACAGACAGGACCCCGCCCTTTATCACACTGCACAACACTCTGGATAACCCTGCATCTGATAAGCGCTGATAGGTAATTTTGGAAGAGATGATGAGAGGCCATTGTTCCCAAAACAGATGCTATGTCGAGGGGGAAAAACAATCCTGTAACACAAGATAAAAGCTATCTGTGATCTCATTAGAGGGGGGTAATGTCAAGCTAGCGAGGTATAAAATGGCTCTGCCCCAACTATGATGACAGGGCACTTATGGAATAAGATACAGTAAAAATGTCGACTCATTTTTTATGTCTTTGCTGGGGTGTGGTGGCGCTCGGGAGAAGTGGGAGGACTTCTCTTCAATTTTCTTTTCTTTTCTTTTCCATATGTGCAATCTAACATGCAGTCTTCTCAAAAGCACAGGTACACACACACTTACAGTATATCAGTTTCACCACTGTTACACACCCTACCTGTCTATGAGCGACTTGAGTCACAATCACCCATGCAAACAAACATATGCACAGTCACTTTTTCTGACACACACACAGACACACACACAGACACAGACACACAGACACACACACACACACACACACACACAAAAACTTATGCACTCTCTCTCTCCCCATCCATTTGAATGCAGCGGGCGAGTCCTGCCCTCCCTCTGGCTGACAGAGCGGGTGACAGGATAGTCGGACAGCACCAAGGTTAGCCTAGAACATGACCATTGTACAAAGCCTTGTTTTGCACAGTGCATCGTGGCGCTCCTACAAATGCTACAAGCGTTTTAAGTGACAACAGTAAGTTTGGATAGAAAACTATATATTAATACTATATTTTATACATTTATTGTTTAGACAAAATGAAAAGGAGAAGGGGGAAACAGAAGAAAAAGCAGCATTGCTAATTAACACTACGTCGCAAGTGTGTGTGTGTGTGTGTGTGTGTGTGTGTGTGTGTGTGTGTGTGTGCGTGTGTGTGTGAGAAATGTCACCGAGCTGTGTTTGAGTACACTCGCGTGCACACATTGACTTCCAGCCCTCAGCAGGCCATTGTTTTTGCGCTAATAATCACCAACCCGTACACATTTCCCCGGCAGCTGGGTGGAATGAAAATTAGCGAGACGGTATCGCAGTGTCGTGTAATTACTAACTGACGCAAACAGCAGAAGAATCGAGGTGTGAAAGCAAATATTACTTCCTTGTGTGTATCTAGTTCTAACACAAGAATTCAAGTGTTAAGAAAACTGTAAGTCAAAGTTAAGGAACAAAATCTACATTAGGGCAATGTTTTGCCGATCAGTGCCCCCCCTCCCCCTTCCTCCTCTCTGCTACATACACATATTTAGGAGCTATAGGGAGCCTTCCTCAGGCCTCTAGATAAATGAATAGAATGACTTGGTTAATGTTGGTAGAGGGCAATGTGCGTGAGCGAGGGAGGAAGAGAAGACAAGATACAGGCAAGGCAAGAAGAAGTAAATGGAAATCAAGTCAAAATGGCAGAGCTGTGAGCAGAAAGTACTTTATGGATGGGTGGAAGGATGGATGGATGGAGGCAAGGCAGATGACTCACCATCAATCCTGCTGACCAGCTCCTCCAGGGCTTTGACTTTCCTCTGGATGCCTGGCTGGGCAAATGTATAGTTGTCCTGAGGAAAAGAAAAATGTAGACGGAGTCAATATGGACGAGGCCCAGTCTACAGCAGTGAGAAACACTTAAAAATAGTTGGTCTGTGATGTTATTTTTATACTTCAGGCATTTTGCTGACTGTCAAAGTGAATGAATGCAGGTAAATAGGTTTCAAACCTTAAAGATAAATCATTAAAAGCAACAACAAGAAGTACAAAGGTCAGGCTTGTAAGGGTATCCCACAAACCAGGAATGACCAGAAAAAATAAAAACAAAACCAAGAACTAAAGACATTTTTATTACAGGAATATTTGTCAGATTTCTCTGTAATTTCTTAGACAAGCTGTGAAATTGATCCCTTGTTGAGAAAACATGATTTGTTTCACATTTACGTTTTGCAGCCATTTGACCTGTGAGTCACACTCAAAGGGTTTGAAATTTCACATTTTCACTTTGAGGATTCGTTTTCAGAAAAGTGCAGTAGTCATTACAGATTTAAAGTGTTTGCCAGGGCCCATTTCACACCTCGCACAAAAGCCTTAGCCACCTTTAACAACAGTAAATAGAGAAAATAGGCCAACCAACTAACATTGGCATGACAAAACATGTGCGGCTGTGGCTTTGAAGACAAAGTAGAGCGCCGACTGTGAATGTGGCTGTAAGAACATAACAGGTGAGCCTTGAATGGGTCCCGGCCTCATATTTGGTGTGAAGTGGTTTAATACTAGAATATTCCTAAGAGCTGATGGCTCTCGTCTGATGGCTGAGGTTTCTATTCACTATTGTCCCTTTCAAGTATTAACTGTGCGTCTTCTTGACTGGATAATGCCAGCTGGTTATCAAGCCTTGAAAATTAGATGGAAGGAGTGATGTTTTTAAAGCCACATGCACGGTCAAATGTAGGGAAACAAACACCGAGTCTGTTATCTCTTAAACGGTTATTTAAGTATTAACTAGCTGCAAAATGTTCTACTTTCACTTATCTTGTTTTTATTAACACTGTGACTCTCAGGCTCTCTGTCCCGTTAGCCTTGCTGGGTGTAGCTTAACTAATTCATGCTAGCCAGTAGAGAAACCCCAGTACTCCTGTTTGGAGACAGGCCAGAGTGGCTTAAAAAAAATGTATTAAGGACTGAGCACCTAGCACCCAGCGATGAAGTGCACTCCAGTCTGAGGACAGATTAGCTAGTTGTTGAGATCCGGTAAAGAACATCTTGGCTTTGAAGCAAGAGGAGGTAATTAAATGATAAATTATGCTGTGCAAGCCGATGAAGGACCCAATGCAGACGTCATGACTCAAAGTCATTCAGGACAGTGTACTGGAATACTAGGTAACGGAATATAGCATTATTTATAGATTGCAGTGTATATTTTGCATTGGGAGTGTGCACTGAAATTTGTGAAAGTTTCAAAATCTAAGGCGAATTACAGAACACTATTTGCCCAAACACAATAAATATTCAGATGTAAGTATGTATCACGTTTGTGCTTACTTTTAAAAGACAAAATACATTTCTACATTTAAATATATAACTGAGAATGTATATTTTAGGACTTTTTTGGGGATGTGAAAACAATAACTGAACCTGAATATGATCACAGGAGTGGGCAGTGTCGGTTGGTTGAACTTGCAGAATACAATACAAGTGAGAATGGCACATAAGCATTTTGTGTGTGTGCGCGTACAGCCAGACGCACACATACACAACGAGGATTACGTTTCCTTGAGGGGTCATTTCAGTGTGGCTGGAGAACAGCTGATGTGGCAAAGTATGGAGACAGAAAATGAGAAGGAGAGAGAGAGAGAGAGGAGAGAGAAAGAAAGAGAGCAGGGAGGAGAAGAGGGGGGGGGGCAGAGAGAGAAGTCATTTAGCAATAAACAGCTCCAGTTGTCCTTCAGGCTCAGCAGAACCAAGGCGTGTGTGTCCTCCTGAGTCCGTCAGTGGATGGCAGGGTATAAACCGCATTCTCTCCCCCTTTGTTTTTAATTCCTCCATCTAGCATCTCACACTTCTTTCATCCTTCCATAGCTTCTAAATGTGTCACTACTTCTTCTTCCAACTTCTCATCTGACACCTTTGTCTCTCACAATTAATTGGTTCATATTTCCTTGCCTATCTACAGGGGGAAAAAAATCATAATTGGTGCACAGGATTTACTCATTTGTGCTCTCAAATGAATACTTTGAGCAACAATATTGCTGGATTGATATATAGGTTAATATTAGCTTATTGCAAATATATATTTACGTATATAACATATATATATTCTATTGATGCTTTTATTTTAAATTGTTGGTTGTTTTTACTGTTATTGTGTGGACCCCAGGAGGACTAGTGACCTAATAGGGTTCCGAATGAAGAATATTGGTTTGTATGTTGGCCAATAAGTGATGAGATATTGCAACGCAGAAATTCCAAACTGTGTTAATATCTGCCTCATGAATCCAGTATCAGTCGGGCTATAATATCAAAGCATCTTGGTCCAAAATCACAACAATACTGCAGCAAACCCAAGCAGCTCATTTAGATACGATTGTCCATGGCCTGTAAACTTTTACTGTTTATATTGCACTGCAGTACAATACATAATGGTATATGTGCACCCAGCTGAGAGCAGCTTAAGCTCGCCAGAATTGCTGAAACAACTTCCAAAGTGCTGTAGCGTCACAGCTTAAAAAAGAAAAAGAGTATTGGAGAGGACTATGTGTATGTATTGAATCTGATAACGCGTGCATTATTAATATGAAGGAATGGATTTAGCATCTCAATATCAAAACACAGCGGTTAGCCTGCCGGTAAACACCCGCTCACTGACCGGAGCAGCCCCAACAACCCATGACTTCAGTTCTAAAGGCTACAGTAGCTTTGAAATTAATTGGAGATTGGAAAATACTCATTTGTGTGCAGAGATTAATTTATTTATCCCTATGACACCATGCCAGGCTCCGTTTCTCCATCTTCTTCATTCCTACTCCAATTCCCATCATCCGTCTGGTTCTACTTATATTTTTTGTTAATGTTTTATTATAATTTTTTTAATTATGCTTCTCTACCTCTCTGGCTTTCTTTCGCCCCCCACCCCCCAGTGTTAATGCGGTTAGGTACTAAGCAAGTGTGAGAGCCACTACAAGTAATTACATTTGCATTATTGAAGCTGCTTCCTTTAATCAACTGCCCTTCCTTCTCTCTCTCCCCCTTTCTCTTCAGCTTCTTCTCTCTGTCCGTCTTTCTTAAAATCACCTTGTAGCATTTTCTGTCTCTATACCTACTTCTCAAATATCTCTTTATACCTCTCATCAATTTCTCACTTTCTCTCTCCGTCTCTTTGTTGCCATCTTATTTTCACTTTTCCTCATCTCGTTCTTATTCTCACACGTATTCTCTCTCTATATTTTGTCTCTCTGTCTTTTATAACTATGTCTCGCACCTTTTTTTATTTCATCTCTCTCTGTCTGGCTGCTTTAACACAATTCTGCTCATTCCCATTACTTTGTCTCTCTATACGTCTGTCACAATATCCACCCCTCAACTTATACAATTATTGCTCGCTTGGAACACAAAGTTTGTTGTTGTTAAAGGGATGACTCATCATTTTAAGTGCACTGATGATTCAACACATTCAGTTTGTTTTTAGTTGTTCAGTCTCTTTTTTTTACATTTTTCCAGTGACAAATTCCCTGCCACACAGGGAGTTATAGATTTGATCTTTTATCTATTTTTTTTTATTTGCTGGCAAAAATCAACAGCCAGCAATGTTTGGATTGAATGGAGTGAACCGAAGATGGAGCAGGTAGTTGATGTGAGCAGCCACGACCGCCGAGGCTGAACAAAGTTGAGCTCAAAAACTTTCACTCAAATTGAAAAATCTTCAACTTGGACGCCTCTTCCCATGTTCGCTCCCTCCACGTATTTAAAAGCTTTCGCAATCCCTCTAAATGTAGCTCTTTTTTGTTCAATCTCGAAACATTTGCAAAGCCAGTTTTCTACCTTAAAATAACAGCTACAGGATAATTTTGATGCTACACTTTGTTGTAAGAGGGTGAATGGTGCCTCTAACATTCGTAGTCTGCGACCTGTACGTCTATTCTCGCACTATGCAACTATGGGCTCCGGGTCAGAACGCTTTATGGCACTGAGACAGCCGACAAGCTGCCTTTCTTACTGTGGGATTAGTAAAGAATGTCAGCTGGCCTGCTATTTGCTTGATGTTTGGCTGTGTTGGCAAAGTTGTCGAGTTGCTTTTTGGTTATCCATCCACCCATCCATCTATCCATCCATCCACCCGCTCATCAAGCCATATATGTCCAAGGTTCCTCAAAAACAATTGCAAGCTAAATGAGTTAGCATTGCTAACATTCTTTGAATGAATTCCTTTACGTAAGACTCATATTCCACTGTATGTTCGTCCATAGTTTCAACTTTTATAAGAAACTTTAACACTTCAATACTTTTCCATTAGTGTATTACCTATTATCTTTGATTACCTGTAGTTCTACTTCGTTCTCCTCCAGTCATGTAATCACAACCAGATATATAAAAGACGGTAATGCATTTGAGGGTCAGGAGGTTTTCAAGCTGTTGTTTGTCTGTGCTTTGAGGCACTTTCTTATCTAACCCTCTTCTTCGCCCTCTTGCCCTTTCCCTCTCTCACTTCCTCCGTTTCACCCATTTTCTTCTTTCTGCCCCCCTATTTTCCTCCAAATTCTCCATTTCTACCTTAAATCTTAAAATCACATACTAATTCCTTAATTTCAATCCTTCTACAGCCCACCACCCCATTTCTTCCTTTATCAATCTCTAACTCTTTTCCTCTACCACCTTCTGTTCTCCATTTCCTTGTCTATTTTCATCACTTTGGTGGTGCTAATGAGGCTAGACTTGACTAAGTGTTTTGAACATGCTATTATGTCTCCTCTGCTTTGTTTTGTTCCCTGATGTTTCATTTTGTTCTATGCTGTAATGCATTTTAGTTTATGACTGATTAATGCTTACTTAGATTGTTTTTTTTTCTTTAGAC